GCACTTGCCCTGTCGGCAAGTGAGGACTTCCGGCACTTTCTCGCTCGTTTCTGCGCCCTTGCACCGCTTCGCGACGAAGAATGCCTGTCCGCAGTTTCCAATCTCTTTTGCGCATGCAAAATGCAAAGGGACTGCACCAGGCGGCCCATGCGGGAAGCCCAATCCAAAGAAAGCGGAGGCATCCAGAATTGCGCGTCCCCGGGAAAACCGTCCACTTGGCTTCTCCACCTCCTTTCGCCAGCTGCGAAGCTTCCTGCGCCTCTATCGTGTACTTCAGCAAGAGGAGAAGCTCTCCGGTGTAGTAACCATCACAGTAGCTATCCTCATAGAACTTTACAACCTTGGCTACACAAGCCGATCTGTGCAATGATCTGACCGTTCCCGTCCTGCGAGCAGCCGGGGTCGTCGCCGCGGTTTTGCGCGTGCCATGAAAAAAAAATAAATATATATATATATATATATATATATATATATCTATAATTTATATATATATATATATATAAATTGAGAGCGACCGCCACGGCGACGCGCGCGCAGGGGAGCTGGATCATTTGGCCAACTAGCCGAAGGCACCGCCAATCCTGCTTTGGCACTTCATGATGATGTGCTCATCTGCCATATTGGCTAATGTCTCCAAAGGCTCAGAAACGGGCAACAGGAAGAGCACTGCCGCTCGAGCAGGCCTGCCCACGACTTTGATCTCAACATGGTCTGCAGAAGCACCCCACAGCAGCAGAGAGAACTAAGATGCAAATAAATCCCGCTCAGCATTCACCACCCAAGCGCGCACATTTCGGTGCCACCAGCAGGAAAGAACATGCTCGACCTTGTTCGAAAGCTCTCGCGGAAGCTGCTTCTGAGGACCCTTGCTTCGCGGGATAATCTCAGAAAGCCTTTGTGTTCTTCTGGTTCGCACAGCAAGAAAGGTCCCATTTTTCCTCTTCGCCTTCTCCCATTAGTTCTCTCCAGGATGAAGGACCTTCTGAAAGAACTTTGTCGATGTGCTCGTCGACCATGCGGCATCAGCCCATCGAGATCGGCGAGTCGGCCTTCGAGTGTGATCTTGGGTGTACTTCAGCAAGAGGAGAAGCTCTCCGGTGTAGTAACCATCACAGTAGCTATCCTCATAGAACTTTACAACCTTGGCTACACAAGCCGATCTGTGCAATGATCTGACCGTTCCCGTCCTGCGAGCAGCCGGGGTCGTCGCCGCGGTTTTGCGCGTGCCATGAAAAAAAAATAAATAAATATATATATATATATATATATATATATATATCTATAAGTTATATATATATATATATATATATATAAATTGAGAGCGACCGCCACGGCGACGCGCGCGCAGGGGAGCTGGATCATTTGGCCAACTAGCCGAAGGCACCGCCAATCCTGCTTTGGCACTTCATGATGATGTGCTCATCGGCCATATTTCCGTATGGTCTGGCGTGTGAATGGAATGACGGAGAGAGTATGCGGGCTTTCCGAATGCACGGGCACCATACTGCGGGCACGCACCCGCCGATCCTGCTTGTTTGCCTCTCCTTGAGTGCTTGCGAAGTTGCCCTCAATGAAGCCGGAGCTTTCCATGATGTGATTCTAGAGCAGCGCCATCGCATGCCTTCGGTGGGGTTGTTGGTCGCCGAAGAACAGTGTGATCGGAGTTCCATGACTCACGACTCTTCCGCGTCCTTGCCAGCTTTACGCACTGGCTTTGCGGCGTGCCTTTAGTGCCCGAGACTACGACTTGGCCGGTAACATCCTGTAGCGTTGTCTCTTCTTGAACGAGGAGCCGGAGCATGTAGTATTTGGCGATCACGGCCTTCTTTTTTTTTGTTGGGCGGTGAAAGGACGGGAAGTCAGTGCTTTTTCTACGCTGTTACACGCGCGGACATTTCCGAACAGGACGCCCGGCCACGCCGCTCCGCTTCTGCTCGCGTCCCGACATTGGGGAGTTGGATCGGTCGCCATACTTCTCATGGCTCGAGCAGACGTCAATCGCGTCGGTGCCGATGGCCACTCCGCGCCGAGCACAGGGGTGGCGCTTCTCTCCTTCCCTTTGGTCTCGCTTCTCTTGGAGTTCCGCGCTCATGTGCCAGACGAGAAGAATCTCTGGGACGGAAAACGGGGGGGGGGGGCGGGGGGTGGGGGCCCAAGAACGTCCGTGTCTGACGCGTGCTACAAAAAAAAGTTCATTGGAACCCCGGAAAACGCAAGCTCGGAGGCTGGAAATGTA